AACCTCATTTCGGTATACCCTGGCCATGGACTTATACTCGTTACGAAGTGCAGTGCGCCTCTCGTCGCATCTGCACCTCTGGTACGACCGCCGTGCCTTGTAGAGGTCTCTCTTCATAGCTGTTAAGGCCGGCGTCCACCACGGGACAGGTCGAGCCCTCGTCTTCCGGTGCTGGAGGGAGTTCTCGGCAGCATCACGGATGGCATCAGTAATCCTTGACACCCTGTAGTCTAGGTCATCGGTGTTTTCTGAATCCTCAACTTCCCACTCTTCGTCGACCATTTCACCCTCCATCATGCACCGAAAGACATTCCATTCACTTCTTCTGGTCAAATAGCCCTTCACGTTGCCATAGGAACATCCTGGATCATCTACCAGGCCAAATGCAATCGCATTGTGGTCCGAACTCGTCTCTGATCTGAGTGTCCAATCGAAGATGTATCTAGATAGCGTTGGTGAAGCTAGAGTGATATCTATCCAGCTCTGCCCTCTACCTCCAGAGAAGGTAGGTGTAGCAGATGGATCATTTATCACCACCAATTGGTTTCTAGCAATAAATTCACCCAGCTTGACGCCTCTTCTGTCTGTTCGATTGGACCCCCAGACCGTGTTCCAGGAGTTGGCATCTGAGCAGACGATCACGTTTCTTGTACCTTGTAAGATCGTTTCCATGGCGGATATATCCTCTTCAACATCTCTTCTATCGTGCATGTAGGCAGATATCAGTGTAAAAGCAATCCTGCCCCATCTTATGTAACATACAGCACGGTCCGCCATGGTATACTGCCTCAGTTCCATCACGTCAAGGTTGGGGTTATTGATAACTATAGCAGCCCTGGGCCTCCCCTCTCCACTGCTCAAGGCTATAACCCTTGACGTGAGGCCAAACCCCGTGACCATGTTCCTATAGCAACCTGGTTCTTGAACCGCGAAAATGTCATAGCGATGGGCTAGAGCTCGTAGCTCATCAGACACAAGACGCCGTCGGCCCATATTAAGTTGTAGGATAGTAATCTTGTTACTCATACTTGGTTCTCTTCGCTAGTTCTTGGGTCTTCTTTAAATGGACTGGGCAAGTTTGACAGCCCGCTTGGTGCTTGGCCAGGTGTTTCTGTTTCCCTTCTCGTACACAATTCGCACAAATCGGTTCTGCCCTTTCCTTCTTTCTTGGGCACTCCTTAGCTATGTGACCTGGGCAGGCACACCATTTGCAAACCAGAGAGTCTGCTGTGCAGGACGCCTTAGAGTGGTCATATCCCAGACACTTCATGCAGCAAGGAGGATCTATATAATCTTTAAAGTTCAAGGACCACCATCCTCCATCAATAACTGATGTTTGTATTAGGCCAAATCTTATCATCGGATGAACCTCTATCACCCAATTCCTTGTAAGGCCTCCTCTTGCTATTGAAGAGAAACATGCCTGGACACACTCCTTTCTTTCTAGCCCAATGGGTATTGTCCCCTGAGGCAATCTTCCCCATATTACCATTTCCAATTCAGATGCGGTCCAAGAGTGAGGTGCTCCCCTTACCTGCAGTCTAGGCTTTCTCCTCAATGCCATCTTAGTTTCTATCCCTTTCTCTAGTAACTTTTGGCACTGTAAAAGCTTGATGGCTTGATTTTCATCTTCTACGCGTACGAGAACAGCACCAGCCTTGGTTGTACGGATCACTTTTGCCTGTACTCCTAGTTCATTCGGAGATGGTAATTCGCTAACAATTTCTAGAGCAGATTTCCCTCCTCTAGCCATTGTAACAAACGCATGCCGCGGTGCATTTTCCTTAGGTTTAATCGGTAGCGTTTTAACTATGTCCGCCATAGTTTTCTTTGCCGGGGGTAAAATTGAGGCATTAGAACTGTTCTGTACTCCTTTCAGTTGCTCATTTACTTCCTCGTTCTTTTTGGCTATCATTTTAACGTTTTTCTTTTTTCTTCGACTTTGAACTATAGCAAAATCTTCTGATTCTAAAACTTCTTCTGAAGGTTTAATTATTAATTCATTGTTTAATGAATTGATCCCAGATGTTCCAGCTTTAGGCGGTGGGTTGTGGTTTTGTGTTTCCGCTGCTGGAAGCCTCTCGAAAATTCTAGGTAGAGATCGTTCAACGAGAATGTCCGTGATTTTGTCAAACACGCTAGGAGATGATAGTGTCTCCTTGACAACTCGTTCAATTAATGCTCTCTGTTCTTTCGATCTATCGATGACGGTTTCCATGATATCGATAAGATGACTCACTTTACCGTTTATATCTTTTTGTGTTTTCACACTTAATCTTTTATCCACGTTCGTAAGGTAAACTCTTAAGTTTTCTTGAATGGCCTTCGCCTCTACTAACAACGGATCCGTTTTACTCTCTTTTTGGTCTGTTATATCAGGCGATCCATTCCTGGCTCTCTTGGCTACAGGTCTTGATCTTTTAGGTTTTTTCTCATCTTCTATCTCTTCTTCCATTTCTATAACACTATCGTCCATAGTAAATAGTATTTTAACACTAATTACTGCAGTGATAACAGTTCTAACCTATCTAATTTAAAATAGCTTAGGAACAGTTATCAGCAATTGTTTGTATAATTCTTTTGTAGTTCCAATGGGAACTTCCTATTATATTTGCTAATAAAGGATTCTAAATTTTTTCTTTTGGTAGTCCTTGATAACTCAATACAATAATACAATTTATTAAACGAATTTGGATAGGTTATGAATAACTTACCTCAACCAGATTTCAAAAAGAGTCTTTTCTGATAAACTTTAATTATTCTAATTATGATACTCTAATTAGATATTAATATTTAGTCTTTCTCTATCTCTAATATCTCTAGATATTAATAGTCTTTATGTACTAAGGTCAAAATTTCGTGGAAAACCATGCGAGGCTTTCTAACCTCAATATTCAAAACTATTTACACTTATAAAAAAAAACACTACAATTAACAAACCATGTCTAAAAAAGTTAATTAACAGTAAACAAACATAAAAAACAACAACAACATAAACAACACAAAGACAGCAATCAGAAAACACACTATACCGCAAATGCGACTGGTCACAAGCAAGTACAGAG